CCGAGATGTCACCTGCTCCATTGAAGGGTTTGCACCCCAAGTCTCGTGCCTCTTTGAGGTATTTGGAGATCCTTATGATCGGACCTCCATCACCCCGGCCCCCATGTGGTTCAATGTGGTCCCTAGAGTCGCCATGGTTTCTTCCTCTTGAAGACCCACCCGAAGTTCGCCCTCCTCGGCGCCTTCGACGTTCCCTCCTTTCCTCGCGCTCCCGCTGATATTGCTGGAGCAGTGCCTCAATTCTTGCTAGGGAGTCGTTCTCCCCTTCTTCATCACTCACATCATCGTCATCCCCTTCGTAAGGGGTCTCAACCGGCTCGGTTTCCGGTTGGTAAGTCGAGTCCTCATAGGACCAGTAGGTTTCACTTTCTGTGTCGACATGACCGTCACTCACGGTCTGTGATCGGCCTCCACGGCCAGCTCCTCTAGATGCCCTAGAGGTCCTTCGACTGCCCTGTCCAGTCTCCACTGGTACACGGCCGGTCGGGTTCCTCCTAGTAATCCTGCCACCACGGTCCATTTCTGAAAGAAATTTGGAAAGAGTCGTTAGACTCGTATCAAATGTCAATTGACGGATAGGTACTTAAGACACGTTTTGGCTCGAGTCATCGCCATACCAATTGCTAAGGGTACCATCTTAACAATTAGAGACCTTGCAACCCAAGTACCAAAAGCTCTCCAAGTACAAAACTTCTATGCTCATGGTTTTCAAAATCTTTTCAAAAAGAGAATTTGGAGACTTCATTATGAAGTTTATGGACTAAGGCTCTGATACCAACTTAATTGTCACGCCCCGGACCTATCCGGACACGTCAACAACCCGTCGTACAATACGAATAGTCAACCGCAGTCCAACACATTCATATTATACAAGGCGTCTTGAATATCATTCACACATATACATCTATAAACAAACATAATAAGTAATTCATAACGCAGCGGAAAACATTGTTTTAAACAAGAAGGCCACACAAGGCATTTCATGAGCACGCAGGCTCCATAGTAAAATATTCATGAGCAAATTTATTAATGTTTCAAATAGAATGGAGGAAGCACGAACCAAGTCTTCTCTCCTAGGAATCACTCGATCAACGAGCACAGAATGCAAGCTCTAGCCTCAACCTGAAATGGTGGTGGGACGCCCCCGAAGGGGTCAGTACTCTATACGGCTATAAAGTACTGGTGTGGCAGGCATCTAATAGATATACAACAAGTATTTCACACACAAGACCCTCAAATAGGGTGATAATATAGTTTAGGCTGTAATCCTAAATTACCCCTTCAAAATATATACTTACTTTATATAAAGTCAAGTAGTCGGCTCAAAGGCCCATGTTTATCACAAAACATTTCCCAAACCCCGTGACTAATGGTCACGACATACATAGGGTCCAACCCTAATATAACTTCTCATTTCTAGAGTTCGGCTCGAGTACATCATCATGCACTCGCATCATAGATCTCCTACTTCATGTAATCATATCATAGATCTCCTACTTCATAAAATCACACCATAGATCTCCTACTTTATAAAATCACACCATAGATCTCCTACTCCACGATTTCACAATTGACACTTGAATCTCATTCAAGTTCATCACAAACAAACTCACACCTTGAGTTTGATTCTAACACATTTAGGGCAATCCTTAACTAGCATCACAATACTATTAAGATTATCCCTACAACTCATTTATCATTAATGGTAGCCCCTCCATATCAATAGATATGTGGCAGCCTCCCATGTGTTAAGCATCATAATGCAATTATACATTTACATACACATAACATTCATACATGAGTTGGAAAAGTCAATTTACCATATTAGCATACTTCTATCTCACATGACTCCATAATCATCAATATGGTTTCAATTCGTGATCAAGTCCATTACTTATCATTCATATCATGTTCAAGCATATTTATTCACAAAAACATGATTTAAGCATTTAGGTAATCTCATGCATAACCTACAAGTTGTAAGCAACTAGATGTCGGTCCTCACCTCAAATGAGCTTTAAAACTTTCCTTCTCGATCCAATGACCAAAGCCTCGGCCAAGGAAGATTGAGAACTGATTCCTTGCTTGGAATTGAGTGTTAAACAGCCTCTTCAAAGTGCTAGTTCAACTCCTAACCGAGGACACAAAAACAGTCCCTAGAACGGGTGTTTCCCGACGAAATCGTTCCCTAACCTTTCAAGGTTTTGTCTAGATTAGTATCTAATTTTTCCAAAAATTAAAGTCACTTTATAATAACATTTTATACACTTCAATCAGTGTATAATAGTTCTTCAATCATTTATATGGTTTAGACAATAGAGAGGAAGGTTTTGGATTCAAACTTACTTTGAATACAAAAACGTATTCTGCGAGGTCGTGTTTTGATCGGTCGATTTGGAAGCCTTCCACTACTCCGATTGATGCAAACCAGACCTTCACGGATTCCTCGTCTTGAGAGCTTTCTGTTGGTATCTCGCACGCCTTATTTGGATGAGTAAATCTCAAGTTATGGCTCCAACAATCAGAGCTACGCACTGAAGAACGAACCTGCGGACTGCTCTCCTCCTTCCTTCTCTCTTGGGTTGTGTGGATTCCCTTGCTCTCTTATCTCTTTGGGGGTTCGAATGGGGTGTAGGGGGAGTGTATTAGGAGACCCTAAACATGCTAAAAGAGTATGTGGCTCACAAAAGAACATGGGAGATATTTGGTTTGCAATCAAATATGGGGTGGACCTCCCCCTTTTGTTTTCTCTTGGAGTTTTTGTGCATGTGAGCTAAGAGTCCGCCCCATATAGTCTTCTCACCTCTTTTCATTTGTTTTGCAGGTACTAAGTCCATGTGGAATGGTTCCCAATTGATCCCATTCATCTTGGGGTCCAAAATATCTACCAATACTTCCAAAAATGGAAAGATGGGTCCTATTGTTTTATCTTTTGTCAAGATGTCTTTTTGTACTCATCCTAATTTATTTAGAACAAGTCAACCTCCTACCTCACATTATTGATCTCCAATATGTGTAGGCTCATCTCAATAATTTACTTAATGAATATTATAGAAGGAAAATCATACTCCCATTATTTAGCTTAATAATGCCAAATATGGGGCTATAGACATTTGTATTCATCTCTAATCATTCTATCACTTATTTTGACATTTGTCATACATATTATTGGACTACTATCAGTGTGGGTCACTCCAGATTGGGTCTAGGATGCCATTCTCGAATACTTGCTATTTTAGCAGGTTGGGTTCAAAATAACGTTTGGGCCGTCCGACCTTACTGGGATTGTCTTGAAAGATCATGTATCACAATTTGGATAATGTTGGGCTCTTTTATTTATTAATAATACCCAAATAGTATTTGCATGCCCGACACTAATATACGAGTTCGAACAGTACACTAATCGATCATTAATTACGTAAAACATTAATCGTTTTACAAATGTTTGGGAATCAGAAATCCAATACATAAACTTTGAATTTTTAAATCAAATTTTCAAGGACGTTCGGGTGCGGTGTCACACCGGAGCTGGAACTGGTAGGGGTTATTCGAGCAAACACGAATTACTACATTTATTTCATAACCATGGTGGTTAAAGAGGCAACTTATCAAGCAACCGCCCACTACGCGGTAGCAAAAGACGAAGAGGAGCTTTTCCGATTCTACTTTGTAAGTCCAGAACCCAAACACCATACCATCTTCTTCCTCCATCACTTGAGGCATCTAAAACAATCGCGTCGATCCTCCAACGGTCGATTGGAGCCCCATTTGACCGGGACCCCATACCGCCAACATTCCACCCAGATCAAACACAGCTAGTGCAGCTCCCATCTCAGTCACCATCATAGCTAAAATAGCCAAAACAAGCATCGGAAAATCGGGTCTCGCAACCCTAGCCGACTCAGATCCACAGTCACATTCAAAACCACTGAAAGCCATTGACACCAATATCAAAAACAACAATCCACTACCTTCTTTGTCTGTGGGTATCTTTTTCTCCCCTTATTGTCGCCTGACTAATTTGAATCGCCGAAGCAACATAGATGCGGAGCTAGAGAAACACGAAAGCAACATGGAACAACTACTGATCGTTTACCTCCAGCCTAATTGAATCGGCGCCTTCCTCTTGCACAACTAAATCGATGCAGTCCTTGATGCGAGAAGCCTTCACCTACTTCTAGCAGTACGAACCCGTACCTGAGAACTAGAACCCACAGCGCCGGGCGAAGCCTTGCCCCGCCGTTCTCCAACCTCACCCTAGATAAAGCTAGGCCGTCCACAAAGCTTAGATTTTTGGAGTGAGTATTATTAACATTTTACTTCTATTTAGAGCAACTTTCCCAAAAACAGTAAAGAGATCGTTTTTTGTTCCCCAAATAAGAAAAATTATTGTCTTGTTTTGACATTAATTAACGTTAATCATAACAGAATTTTTTAAATTTAACAATAATTATTCTTATTTTTTTTTAGAAGAAACGATTTATATTATACTCCGTATCAGAATTCCAACAGATAACATCAAGACTGAGAATAGAGACAAGACAACAAAACTAGAAAACATAGCTTGATCATAATAACTATTCTTGTTTAAAAAATGTGACAAACATATTTTGACATTCCAAATTGTTTTTAGTACTACACACTTGTATTTCTTTATGCATGGCTTTACTAATTTTGTAATTTACCGATGCTAGATCAACAGAGAAGTCTAGCAGAACACGAATAAGATCTCTGGTGTTTTTAGGGTATACTGCGCATAAAATTAAGGAGGTGTTTGAATCTGATTCTTAAAACTTATTCTGTTGAAGGAGTAGAAACAGAAGTTGGAGTGTTTGAATGAAAGTGTAGAAATGATTCTGGTGCTCTAATTTACTCATAGAATCAGTTTTTTTAGACGTCAGAGGAGATCAGCTTCAGCTTCTAAAAAGTGGAGTGCAATTTTGTTCACCCCTCCTTGGAGGGTTAACATAACCCCTCCCTATTTGCTTGCCATGCGGCAAAAAAAAATGAAATGCCTTCTACAAAAGAAATAGAAGCATGGAGTATTTTGAAACAGGGGGTTTATGTTTAGATTTCAAACAAGAACCCACTGTTGATGGAATCGCCAACGGCCGTATCTGCTGCTTCCTTCGCCGATGGATCTAAAGCGGAGAAGCATCCCAATCTGTTCTTTAGGCGCTTTGAATACCCCCTATTGTCAAAACGTCTCAGGAAGCCTGATGAAGCCGCAGGATGTCGTGAATCGAAGGAAAGCGCCTATTTTCCAAGAGAATTTGTATGGGACACGCCAGAATCGACCATCATTCATGCCGGCGAGAGTGAAGATGAATCTGCAAGCGACAGCACTGGTTTGGGCATACCTTCTCCACCACCATATGACGATATGGAGTATTATAACCCTTCAGGGCCTTCACCTCCCCCTCCTGATTCACCTCGGACTATCCAGAAGAGAATGGAAGAGCGGCGTAAGACTGCTGAAGAGACGCACGGGGGTTGTCATGTGAAAGAGGGTGGTCACTTCCCGGAGATACACTATAGGGCTGCAAAAGAAGCTCTTGAATGGTACAACTGCAAGAACAGGGCACAGTTCAAGCTTCTTCAGTTGGTGGAGGTGGATATTGCTGCAGTTTCTGGAATCGTTTTCTTTATCACCATGAAGGCAGTGGATGGTAATGATCCTGCTGCTTCTCCGGTCACTTTCTTGGCCGAATATTATCACAAGATATTCAACCCAGACGATGAGGTCCTGGACTGCAAGCCTATAAGCTAATCAACTGTGCTTCTAGCACAAGCACAGCCTTCTCCATGGAAGCATGGGTAATGATTTGTCATATGCTTTTTTGTCATCCTTTGCCGTTTTATAATATTCTTCTTCTTCTCCTAGAAGTGAGATTTTTATGTAGTAATGATGTGTGATGAATTGATCAATAGACTATGAAAGAGTTATTCGCAATGCAGGGGAGTGAGTTATAGTTATGAGCATGAAGTAAGGAAATGTTGGGGCAATATAATGACTTGAATTGAGGGACTGTGATCAGAAAAGAAGGGCAGTGTAGTGATACTAATGGAGTTTGTGTTTTTTTTAACAAAGAAGACTTATGTTATAATATTAGACACTCGCAAAGCAGCTACGAAACAAATACTTCCATTTCGGTCACGAGTCCTAGGATTATACACAGAACTGTATGTGTAACAAACACAACAATTCGCTAATCGGTCAGCTGGCAGCTTGAAGCTGACCAAAGGAAAAAATATTGCCCCACAGTTGCTCAAAAAACGGATGCTCCAACTAGTAATCCAAATAAACAACCTAGATTGAAACTGACTAAACCATACTTGAATAGACGAGACCAGATATAAACAGCGGGTCAGTTTGTTTCTGATCCAAGAGATACTCACTTTAATGCAGCATTAAGAATCCTCAAATATGTCAACAACTCTCCTGGACTTGGCTTATTCTATTCTTCTTCCAATACTCTCTTACTATTCAAGCATTTTCTGATTCGGATTGCGGGATTGGGCTACATGTCCGTCCACAAGAAAACCAATCACATGTTTCTATGTGTTCCTTGGAAGATCTCTAACATCCTGGAAGTCCAAGAAACAAAGTACAATTTCAAGAACATCTTCTGAAGCCGAATATCACTCTCTAGCATCGTTAAGTTGTGAGCTCCAATGACTTCAATTTTTACTTAAGGACATATATACCAATGTTAGTCTACCATTTTGTGTATACAATGACAGTCAGTCGGCCATTCAGTTTGCTAAAAACCCTTCCTTTCACGAACGAACAAATCTTATAGAAGTGGATGGTCATATCATCTAGATCAAGTTGATGAATGTTTCATCAAATTGGTCTTCGTTTCTTTAGTTCATCAAGTGGCTGACTCCTTTACCAAAGCATTATATCCAACTACTTTTCAGCAGAGCATTTCCAAGCTTGGTCTGCATTCCATTTACGATCCAGCTTGAGCGAGGGTATTAACTCAACAAAAGCATTTCATGCACGTTCATGCATGTTTACGCGAAGAAGCAGATACTACGGAATAACTTTGTATTAGTTTGCTGTTAGATGTTAGTTGGACAGTTAGATAGATATTTTTACATTCATTTGTATTTTGCATCTCTCTACTGTATAAATAACTCTACACCAGGTCTGTATCAATACATAAGATCATTACATCAATTCTTCTTCTTCCTTTAGTTTACAATAGTTAATAATAACTGGAAGTTAAACATTGTATCACAGAAAACCACAACCACGTTGAACATAATTTCCGTTATAGTTCTGTAGTCTGAATTTGGTTACATTTGCTATTTCATTTATGTCTTTTGTTAATCATTCAAACTTCTTCTGTATAAATAATAATGCTATGTATCAATTTGATGCAAAGAAGAGCGTTAGATAGCCGCTACTTGTCAATAAAAGTAAATAACCGCTATACATATAAATAAGTTAATAACACACACATAGAGAGAGGAAAGTTCATGGCAGGACCTCAAAAAATGGACCTCCGAACGGACCTCGGCATTTAGGCCCCTTTCCGGTGGAATTTTTTGATGAAACTTTTTGAGCATGTTCTTCATCAAGTCTAGTTTATCCATACCAAATTTCAGCTAAAAATTCCATCGGGAAGACAGTCAAATGATTTTTGGAAGTTAACTGCATTTTATATGTATATAAAGTACACAGTTATAAAGTGCACATGTAAATAAAGTTCCTATATTTAGTCTATAAGTTTACTGCGTAGTAAGATCAGATGCAAATTCAAGGGGTAAGATTACTTCTCACTTCTCATTTTAAGGGGCACTTCTCACCTGATCTTTATATATATATATATATATATATATATATATATATATATATATATATACATATAGGGTAATGCTAAGGTAAGGTAGGCCTAAGAATCATAATTCTTAGGCCTCTTTCATTTGAGGTGCTTCTGGGTCGAATTTTTTGATGAAATTTTGTGAGCATGTTCTCCATGGATTGAAGAATATGTCTACCAAGTTTCAGAATTAAATTCAATCGTGAAGTCGTTTAAATAAATTATTGAAAAAAAACTGCATTTTATATATGTAAAAACCTGCACAATTTTGAAAACATTATTTAACCGACTTACCGATTGAATTTTATTCTGAAATTTGGTGGGCATAGTCAACACTTCATGGAGAACATGCTCACAAAATTTCATCAAAAAATATATCCTGGAAGCACCTCAAATGAAAGAGGCCTAAGAATTTCAATTCTTAGGCCTACCTTACTTGAACATTTTCCTATATATATATATATATATATATATATATATATATATATATATATATATATATATATATATATATGGAATCGGCTGGGAAAACCTGTTCCCGCCCGATTCCATTGTGGCGAACGCTATATGCTGGTCTCATGCGCAATAAGTGGACATGTGTCGCAAATGAGAGATATTACGTTGCAACTTGCAAGCATTCTAAAAGTAATACTCATTTGCTTATGACATTGACACCTGTACGTAGATGGTTAACACGTGACACAATTATGATGTGTATTATTGTCTTTTTTTATCGTGCCTATTTTTGTGTAAAAGTATTATTATTAAGTGTTATTAATATTTAATGTTCAGATTTGGTATTCACATGGGCCCACCATCCAAATTATTAAGTGGTAAGAATTACAAGGTCTTACTATTTAAACCCTATTAATGATGTTTGACGTGACACAATTTAATTTATAAATACTCCGTACAATTCAATGTTTAGATAAAACCTTCTATCACACACATTGATATGCACTAATTAGTAGTGCATAAATGTGTCTTTTTATGTTTGATTTGTGTGGATTGTTTACCATTTTATTTAGTTTGTAAACATTTGTGTGATTTTAGTTGTAATTGTATTCCAGTTCTCATTTGTAAGTTGTAAAGTAGAATTAGGAATTATGGTGTTGAAAAGAACTTTGAAGTGAAGAAAAAGGAATTTTGACTGTCCAGGAGCAAATACCCGACCGGGCATAAAACGTCACCCGGTCGGGTCTGATTCAACAACTGAAAGTGCCTGGAAAGTGCACTCACCCGGTCGGGTCCCCTACCCCACCCGGTCGGGTCTGACTTGACCCGGGACAGTTTAACGTGCTAAAACACAAGAACGTGGAAGATTATCTGATTTGGACATGCACCCGGTCGGGTGGGCACTTGACCCGGTCGGGTACCCGGCCCAAGGTGTTGAAAAACGCCTATAAATAGCACACTTTTCCTTCACAAAAAATCACTCCTTCTTTCATACTCTTAAGCTCAGTTTAGAATAGCATTTCTTTATATTTTTCTAGCATGTTTAGTCTCCAAATGAGGAGCTAAACTTCCATTTCCTGGTGTTGCTCTTGAAGCTTTTTGATTATTAAAGTTGTGAGTTATTTTCTTAACTTCTTTCCTTAAATATTAATTCTTCCTTTAAATACCATTTCTATATCAATGTTGGGGAGTGTTACTAAGATGACAATTAGTTAACATCTTGACATTAGTTATAGTAATAGTTATTTCTTCGCCTGTGTTAATATTGGGGAGTGTTACTAAGATGACAATTAGTTAAGATCTTGATATTAAATATAGTAGGATTCATCTTCTTTAATATCTTCCTTGAGTATTAATTAATTCCTATTCATATTTCATATTAATATTTTGAACATTACTTAAATGATCAATTAGTTTTGTTTCATATATTAATTATTACTAGAAATGATCAACGAACCGATGGTTAATCGTTGATGGTTTCACAAGTAAGTAACTTCGTTTTATTAATGCACGGTCGTGGTTAATAAACTTAAGAGGGATTAATTTTGTTGGTTAAACCGAAACCGTTGTGTTTAGGTTATCAATCTCAATTGATTTCATCAAGGAGTTAAGAGATTAAATGCTACTATCAAGTCGGTATATGACGGTGGACAAATCTTCATGTCAGGCCGGCCTGACGGGATGCTCCGTCCGGCCAAGGGAATTTCAGGCACTTCCCATTGGAATTTTTTGATTAAATTTTTTGATCATGTTCTTCATGAAGTCTAGTTTATCCATACCAAATTTCAGCTAAAAATTCAATCGGGAAGGCACTTAAATAATTTCTTGAAGTTAACTGGGCAGTTCATACATATAAACTGCCCAGTTAACTTCAAAAACTTATTTGAGTACCTTTCTGATTGAATTTTTAGCTAAAATTTGGTATGGATAAACTAGACTTCATGAAGAACATTCTCAAAAACTTTCATCAAAAAATTCCACCGGGAAGTACCCGAAATGCCCTCGTCTGGACGGAGCATCCCGTCAGGCCGGCCTGACATGAAGACTACTCTATGGTGGTGTTCTATACTTGACTAATAGTAAGGGTTATTAATGAACGGTCGTTGTTAATAACTACCCTCGATGAATTAGATATACTCCTCGATTGAGTATTCGAGAGGGGATAAGTTATAGATATAACAATGATCGACTGAAATATATCAACAAGTGGAAAGTAGCAATGTCAAGTCCTTTTTATTCTTGAATTAAATCTCAAATAAGTCGTTCATCTTCGTGTTTGATTAAATTAAACCACTCAATCCCAAAACCCCCTTTATTTACTAGTTTTACTAAAAAGAGAATTATTCATTTCCCTGTGGATATGAACTCTACTACGCTACACTACGTATAAGTGTTAGTATTGAATTTATTTTGAGTGCACACACGACAAAGTGCACGTCACACATACACACATAATATACAAATGGCACCGCTAGAATGTCTTTGGGCAGTTTCTACCACGTTCGGTAACCCACTGCACACGTCCAGTCCCAATTTCAAATAACTGCCTCTCTTAATACTTCAAATACATGTTTCGGCATAGAATTTAATTACGCTTGGCCGCAACCTATTGCAGATATAAACAAACTCTTATGGTTACTGTTAGCAAGATGCTTTACAATAAAGCGCATGAGATTAACA